CTTCAATATGTAAAAATACAATTTTTTTCCAAGAAAAGATTTCTCGTTTGGAAAATGTTCTTGCATATTTGGTTATTTCAGATTTAGAGGCAAACATTTGACAAATGATGTTGAGCAGGTTTGACTCAACATATTTTTGAAGTTAATGCTGTTTCCATGCTGCTTTACTAAGTTACTAAGCTTATAAAATACAATTTCCTTCTTTTTCGGAATGCTTTCTGATGATTCCAATTTAGAAGCTTCCTTTTAAAGTGAAGTGATTTCCAATTGTCTGAAAATAACTCTATAAAAGCAGCAAACATCATTTGACAAATACCAGAAGCCAATTCAACATCGAACGAAAGAATGGGTCCCTACGTTGGATTATCAAAGTTCTGTTGTGTGTAGCTTGCAATTACATTCCACCCGATATATGGATAGCTGGACTTATCTATCCGCACCAATAATAAAAAATACAACAACAGCAAATTGAAGATAAATGTTAATAATTCTTGCACATTAACAGAGAAAAATTGTAATTGAATTAAAATTTTCAAAATTCTAAACTAAAGCCAAATAACCGTTTTCTAGAAATTTGATGTTTTCAATGAATTATAAATAATTCAATATATTGTATGATAAATATAGCAAAATTAGCACAAACTCCAGTAATTAGTTAGCGTAAATATAATAAAGCATTTATCACATTGTCATAAACCAGCAAAGCAATGTGAACGTTTCGACACTGATGATGAGATGTTACTTGTTCCAGAATTTCCAATATGCAGTCACTGGATGATACACATTTTCTTCACACTATGTGCATAAGCTCTAATTACATTGTTAAATATGAGCTAAACAAGCAAACATTATATTTCAGTGTATCATTACTTATATTGTAGCATTGCAATATAAACACATACTGTGTTACTTACTATACATGGAATCAATAAACGATTATTATAACGGGGCCAATGTTCTGTTGCAAATTGATAAATATGAATAATCGGAAATTAGTTTATGGCATAATAAAATCGTCTGGAATCCCGTTATGCGATTTTATCTTTATTAATTACAAATTTCCTATCTGTTAAGGGTATGACCGAAGGCCGAAGTTTGCCGAGAATAATTCGAATTGAATTTATAGAAGTCCGAGCAAATGTTTAAAAAATCAATAAAAAATATATTCTAAAGATAGTCGTCAAATTAAACAGCTTATTCTCTGCAAGAACAGATACCTTCTAGTGTGTATAGAGTGTCTATGTGAATTATTCAAAGGATTATGTCGGTTTCAATGTTTGTTAATCATAATGCAAATCTAAAGATGCTATTTCGCATTTGTCAGGTATTATTTGTTCTTTCATGTTGATGACAAGTCTTTAATCCATGTTTTGTAACTTCTCTATTATCCACTTTTCATGTACATTGTTTTGTTGTGGCTCTGGTCTGCTGGAGTTTTTGCTAGAAATTGTTCTACCTATTTGTTTAAAAACCCTGCTGATTGCTATTTTGATTCTGTTTACATTTATTCAGCGTGTAGGGGTTTTTCTTAGTTCTCATTGAACTGTAAGTTATTTCAATATTGTCGAGTTGATAGTTTCATTTTTTAAGTGCATCTACCATTTTGTTACATTTTAAAACCAATTGCCAAATAATAATGGATAGTTAAGAACCAGGTTTTTACTGGAAACAGAAAACGGTGAAACAAAATAGTGAAAATGGAAACAAAGAAACTGTTAAAGGCAACAAAACATTATTATTGTGCATCGTTTTTAAGCTTATGTATTACAAATTACTTGATCATCGAATTTCAATTACGAATCTTTCCGTTCCAACTATTCATTAACTTTTACCAAACACTTAAAATAACTTTTAGCTTCAGAAAGCCCAGCTTTCCTCTAATATAACCACGTGAAACTTCTTTCACTCTGTGGATGACGAGTCTACCGGAAACATTAGTTCAATAATTACAAAATGCAATAAATCGAAAGATCCGGAAAATTGAAGGGATGATCTTAGTGCTTATTACAATATTTCTTGTGTGATTTTGGTGCGGATTTATTCACATGAAATTTTAGGCGGCAGTCAACATTATCAGTACGAATAGTAGTCTCCCTTTACTTAGGGGGTGCTTTAATAAGCAAATACACCGCTGGCATTTAATGAACGCACTTAGGGGTACACGCATTGCACGCATACACCTTTGGGGTGCCACGCGATGCGATCTACAGCTCCACGCATGAGGGTGTGCATAAATCTCATCTGTAGCATTGATTTAAATTACTATACAGGGTGCTGATTGAGCAACGAATATATGGGCCCTACAGCATCGAATCAAAAAAGAACAATACTGCCTTAATTTATTAAATAAATAAGTTATCTTTGTCAATAACTGAATAACGGGTTTATGAAGTAATCGATGTTGTAGGGAAAAATGAAGCAATGGGGTAAACCAGACAAATAAAAATTTTCTACTGCTATTTCAATTATTCGCTATCATTTCAAGACCAATTAAGAATGGAAAACATTTTATTTGGATGACTAGAAGCGAATTAAAAATGTAACGTATATACGAAACGGATTTAACCATAAATAAAAGGTTCTTTCTAACAGCGATTTCTCTTTCTGAAGCGTAACTACAAAACGTCGAAAACGGGCAATTTTAATTAAAACTGTTGATCCCGAACTGTACGATTCAAACAACAATTTAAATATATTTTTTGCCATTTTAAAATTAAAATTGATTAAGGTTTGAATTTCCATTGTTATACATCTCTGACTTTAACTAAATAATTGTTGAAAATGGCCGAGTTGTATTGTATAGATTTTATTCAAAGTAGGTATGTAATTTTTGCACATTAGCGAATATTCATAATCTTTACCTTACCACGCAAGTGAGTTTTGGAAAACATTTCTTGCATTTTTCTTTACATTTTCAGTGCAGCGTTTAATTTTTTATTTTATTTACTCTTATAAAACGTTGGAGAGCTGTGAATATATACTGGTATTTATTATACACTACGCTGCTTGGAAAATGGAGAATGAGGTCGCTACTAGTTAAGCGATTTTCAAAATTCAAAACTTGAGTTTTTAAATCAATTTTTTCGACAATAATCCATAATTTTTTTAACATCTTCAAATCACCGAAAACATTAGTTCAATGACAATTAGATCTGGCAGTTTTCCCAACAGCCAATCAAAAAACATTAACATTAAATAAGACATAAAAAAAGTAAAGCTAAAGGCACAAACTTATTTTTTAATTTTTTCGTAAAATATATAAAACCAAGTATATTTCGAATTTAATCTTTTAAACATGCAACCAACAAGACCCTGTATGCACCTTGTAGAAAAACAGCGTTTACACATGTGAGTTTGAATCTAACTCGTAGTTCAAATAATTCTTGCACTTTGCAACATTTAACGTAATTCCCAGGATAAATCAACATAAATATAGCGCAACACGAGCTGAAAAACGTAATTTTTACGTTAGTTAGAGAAATTTCCAATGCTTAAACATTAACGAGATACTTTCCCCGTTCAAGCTTGCTATAAAAATTGCAGTTTTTAGCATTGAATTTCTGGAGTTATCTCAGGGTTTCAGCAAAATTACTCGTGATTTGAACGCGTGAATTTGAGTCTTCATAATTTTCATAGCAGCACCTTCTATAAGTTACATTTACAAAAAAACACCCTGATACTGGGATGAACAAAGAAAATTACCAAAAAATACACTAAACCGCTTTGCGGTTAATATGTAAGAGAATGTCACACATAAATCTGTTCGATATCCCTATCGTCACGCACGTAAATAGTGAGGGGTGGATTCTCCCTATTTCGGTCTCATTAAAATCATTGAATATGGAGATAAGGAGTTGGTTGGTTCATTTTTCTTAACTATGGAGTGCTTTATCGAGCGAACCTAATTTAAGTCTTTGTCCCTTTCGTATCAGAAAAAAACTATTAGTTATTAGAAGACAATTATTTTTGAGGCAGAAAACCCAAAAGCTTTTTGTTTTAAGAATCACGAGAACGAACGCGTTTTTCCTATCTTAACATGAGAATTAAGTTTTCAATTCAATGTCACATTTTGCTCACATGTTTTGATCACTCAAACAAAAAAGTTTGATTGAGTGATCGAACACGCCTTTTTCCTTTCGTGAAAAATAGCTTTCATAACTGCATAATAAAGTCAGTTCACTTGAAAGCTCTATATTCTGAAGTAACGGCCATTTCATGAAATCTAAACGGACATCGACTCTTCTTACTAATAATTAAATGAATTGCTTGTACGTTGGTTGAATCTCTCTGTGAGTCGTATCTCGTTGTTCAGTTCAATTATATGGCAATCATGCCGAAAGTTATTGGAAAATGTGCGTCTTTTTATCATAATGAAAACAGATGCTCATAGGGGTTGGTCGTAATCGTTCCAAAATCATAAAATATGAACTGGCAGAAAAAAAATATGTCAAGCAATAAGGGGGGTTATCGGCGTATAAAAATTCTCATTTGGGAACGAGAATAAAGTACGGATTATTAAGTACGCTTGTGCTTTAGAACAGAAACAAGTTAGATTTGAGGAAATTGCCAACAAGTTTCACAATCTAAGAATATTTCTATTGATTAAAATATTATAGTATTTATAAATGTATTTAACATCTATCAAAGCTGCTATTCAGATTTTGCAATAGGCTTGGAAACAAAGACTTCTCTTCAAATTGATAGATTTATTTGAGTGAACTCAATTCACACATCTATTTGAGTGTTGTCTGTACAAAAGTTTTAACATTAAAAGCAGAAACATTTCTGTTCTTCCATATCATTTACTCGTAGTGGATCTTTATCGTGTGGAAACATCCAGGACTCATTTATTGTCTGCAGCAACCTCTAATAAAAGACACAAATTTTAGTGAATAAGCCTTCATTTATAGTCAGTATTCGTGTAATTAAATTAGAATACCTACTAGGTACAGGGCATTTGATTTGTATTTGACTAACATAATATTATTTTTATTTTCCAGGCGAGCCTTTGGACCTTGTCGACCCAGAATCCTGTATCTTCGATGTTTTCGTCCCATGATCAGCACCAAAACAATGTGGTATTGCGAGTCGTCCATTTTTCTTCTTCATTACAAATTGTCAGAGATGGAAATGTAATATTCGCGAACAGCAGCGTTCAAAAATATGTGTTCTAACAGAAAGATAAAGTCAAATCCTCTTTACTTAATTAGATTGTAGGTTATATATCTCTTTTGCAAGTATTTCCACAAGAAACACATGTTTTGCTGCAGAATTGGAAATATTTGTGACTTTTCCTAATGCAACTTTGGCAAATGGAAAATTGCCTTTTTACTTTAATTTGGTGACACTTAAGTAAGGTAAAAGTGCTGCTACTTTAAAGCCCGGTTCCACCAAGAGTGATTAAATTCTTGGTTAGCTAATCACAATCATTTTTTAATCACCACTTTAATCATGATTAAATTGTCATGCGTTCCACAACAAACATTTTAACTCCGGTTAGATAATCATCAGTCTCATAGGTTAAGATCATATTTCCTTTGAATCCACGGTTCTGATTGGTTCAAACACCTCACAGATCAACTGAAATCATTTTCCCTCAAAACGGTAATCACATGTAGCTTGAACATTGATAGAGAAATATCCTTTTCTATTACGAAATACTTCTGCGTGTTCTAAAGTTTGGGAAAACGAGTTAATGCATAAAAAATTACTTGTGCTGCACTCATTTCCTTTTTTGTAGATGGGAGTTTAATGTCATGTCAGCAGTTACTCGATGTACAATTCGATGCGGACTAGTTTTGGTTACTCCAAAAAAGTCTCCAGCAGCAATAAGTTGCGATCCAGTTGCATAATACCTCAACACAAGTAAAAGTTGTGTCATGGGTTGAATAGTGTTGTTTCTGAAACATCCATTTAATGAACATGTGGCAATTTTACTATTATTCATTTATCATAACTTTCTGTAGTATGTTGCAGGTCTATTTCTATTTCCAGCAGTAATGTTTGGACAGTGTTTTTCGATAAGCGAAATAGCATAAAAAAAACTTAAGGTGTCCATGATTTCAAAATAATTGACTCGCGGATTAAATATTCGCGGTCTTCTAACAACTTGCATGTCACTATCCTCATCAGACGGTGATAAAACATCGCCATAAAACAAATCCAACATGTGTTTACTTAAAATTGTTTGAGGTTATAATACTGCAATAATCGTGATTATCGTCAATAACCAGCCATTTTAGGCGATTAAGTTAACCACTGATTAAGTGTCCATAATCGTGGTTAAAATTATGGTGGAACACAGTGTTGATTAAATAGTTTTAATCAATGATTAACATTTTAATCGGAGATGGTGGAACCGGGCCTTAGTATTACTATTATTATCGTCTATACATATGGTGAAAACTTTTGTATTAATCATGTAGTTAATCGTTTTAACCCACTTTCATACAATAATAAAAACGTTGTATAATATTTTGGACAAACATTGGTAAGCCATTTAAGTTCTTGCGGCAACTGCTACTGAGCGGCATACAACATTTTGTAAGTACAAAATGTTACAAATGTTTACAATGTTCTCATGCAAAAAAATCGTATCAATAGATTTATCCACTAAATGAAAACTTTAGCCAGCGATTATAGCAGCAGAATAAAAAATTATTTACTATTCTTAAGTTGATAGATAACAGCTAAAATGCTGGTTTTTCATTTAATTCATTCTTCAATACGAATAACGCTTAGTTGCTCCAAAATTCTGCACAACTTAGGTAAAGCCGTTAATCCAAATTAGTTAATTTAAATTACACAATTAACTAAATGATAATTACAAAATTGTCTTTTACTGTAAAACACAAGTTGAAGATTGTTCATAACACACAAACCTGAATTTTTGAAAAACAACATAGACAGTTGAAATTAAATCATTTCCAGAATATTGTGATTTAATCTGAGAGTTAATAGTTTGGAATGTTGTTCAAAATAAGCTGGTATCATAATCCTGATTATTGAATGATTCACCCTGTGTATAAAAATTATACAATTTAAACTAAATTTATAGAACCTGTTCTTCTGGAAATAAATGTATAAATGTAATAAATAAATAAAATAAATCTTAAATTGTACATATATTTCTTTTGAAATGCCTCTAACACATCGCTTAAGAAAACCACGGTGCGTGCCACGCACTCTGGTGATTAGTTCACACTAATCGACAACAGCGCCCTCTATGGTGACTAAGTACAACTAAGTATCGAAAGTAGCGCCCTCTGTAGTGAATACGTCGAATTAAAATCGAAAGTAGCTCCTTCTATAGTGAATAAGTCCAACTAATTATCGTGGGAGGCGCCCTCTGCAGTGAATAGGTCGAACTAAATTCAACAAAAGCGCTCTCTTAAGTGAACACGTCGAACTAAAATCGAAAGTAGCTCCCTCTATAGTGAATAAGTCCAACTAATTATCGTGGGAGGCGCCCTCTGCAGTGAATAGGTCGAACTAAAATCACCAAAAGCGCCCTCTATACTGCATAAGTCCAACTAATTATTGTAAAAGGCGCCCCCTTTAGTTAATAGCTCGAACTATAATCGAAAGCAGTGCACTCTGAAGGGAATAATCCGAACTAAAATCGACAAACGCGCCCTCTGAAGGAAACAGTTTGCACTAAATTTGACAAGAGTTAAGTGAACACGTCGAACTAAAATCGAAAGTAGCTCCCTCTATAGTGAATAAGTCCAACTAATTATCGTGGGAGGCGCCCTCTGCAGTGAATAGGTCGAACTAAAACAGAGAAGAGCGCCCTCTGAAGTGAATAAGTTGAACTGAAATCGATAAA